ACACACACACACACACACACACACACACACACACACACACACACACAGAGTTAGTGAACCACAACCCTAATTGCCACTATTGTGAGGAGTGTTCTCTCAAATAGCTGAGATAATTTACAATATTAAGATTGCCAGTCACTGGAGAAATACAAAGCAAAACTACAATGAAGCTAGCAGTAATGGGCCCAGTGCAATGGCTCACACCTGTAGTCCCAGCACTTTAGGAAGCCGAGGTGGGCAGATCACTTGAGCCCAGGAGTTCAAAGCCAGCCTGGACAACATGGAAAATCCCTGTCTCTGCAAAAAATAAAATTAGCCAGGTGTGGTGGCACATACCTGTAGTCCCAGCCACTAGGGAAGTTTACAAGGGAGGATCACTTGCGCCCAGGAGGCAGAGACTGCAGTGAGCTGGGATTGTTTCACTGCACTTCAGCCTGGGTGATGGAGTGAGAGACCCTGCCTCAAAAAAAAAAAAAAAAAAAAAGACAGCACTACTGGCTGGGCACAGTGGCTCATGCCTGTAATCCCAGCGCTTTGGGAAGCCAAGGCAAGAAGACTGCTTGAGCCCAGGAGTTCCAGACCAGCCTGGGCAATATAGTCAGATGGTATCTCTACAAAAAAATTAGCTTGGCATGGTGGTGTGCACCTGTATGTAGTCCCAGCTACTCAGTGCAATGAGGCGGAAGGATCACTTGAGCCCCAGAGGTCAAGGCTGCAATGAGCTATAATCACACCACTGACCAGCCTGAGCAACAGAACAAGACCCTGTCTCAAAGAAAAAAATAAATAAAAAGCACTATACTGCCACTAGAAGAGTTGTAACTCACATACCAAGTGTTGACAAAGATGTGGAAAAACAGCCAGGCGGGGTGGCTCACGCCTGTAATCCCAGCACTCTGGGAGGCCAAGGTGAGTGGATCACAAGGTCAGGAGTTCGAGACCAGCCTGGCCAATATGGTGAAACCCTTTATCTACTAAAAATACAAAAATTAGCCAGGTGTGGTGGAGGCTGCCTGTAGTCCCAGCTACTTGGGAAGCTGAGGCAGGAGAACTGCTTGAACCTGGTAGGCAGAGGTTGCAGCGAGCCGAGACTGTGCCACTGCACTCCAGCCTGGGCCTCAGAGCGAGACTCTGTCTCAAAAAAAAAAAAAAAAAAAAAATGTGGAAAAACCAAAACCCTCAGACACTGCTGGTTGTAAAATGGTACATACAGCTACTTTGGAGAACAATTTGGCAGCTTCATAAAAGTTGACTATATAATCCAGAAATTTCACTCTTAAGTATCTCCGCAAGAGAAATGAAAGCATGTCCACACAAAGACAATGCAAGTGTCCACAGGAGCATTATTTTTTTTTTTTGAGACAGTCTCGCTGTGTTGCCCAAGCTGCAGTGTAATCTCAGCTCACTACAACCTCCACCTCCCAGGTTCAAGCGATTCTCCTGCCTCAGCCTCCTGAGTAGCTGGGATTATAGGCACCTGCCACCATGCCCATCTAATTTTGTATTTTTAGTAGAAATGAAGTTTCACCATGTTGGCCAGGCTGGTCTGAAATTTCTGACCTCAGGTGATCCGCCCACCTCAGCCTCCCAAAGTGCCTGAATTACAGGTGTGAGCCCCAGTGCCCAGACTTCAAGCATTATTCATAATAGCCTAAACCTGGAAGCAATACAAATGCCCATTAACTAGCAAACGGGTAACAGAATGTGGTATATCCATGCAATCAAATACAATTAGTCAGTATAAAAGAACAAACAACTGATACATGTTACAACATGGCTGAGCCTCAGAAACATTTTGCTAAGTGAAAGGAGCCAGACAAAAAAGACTACCTACGATTCCTTTCATAGGAAATTTCTAGAAAAGGCAAATCTATAGAGACAGAAAGCAGATCAGTGTTTGCCAGGGGCTGGAGAGGAAAGCAGGAATTGACTGTAAATCAGAAGAAAGGAAACTTCTAGGGACAAAGCAGTGTTCTAAAACTGGATTGAGGTGGCAGCTGCCCAACTCTATAAATTTACTTTTAAAATCACTGGATTGTATGCTTCCATGGGTGGGTTTTATGGTATGTAAATTATACCTCAACAAAACTGTTTTAGGAGAAGGAGGCCAGGCACAGTGGCTCCCACCTATAATCCCAGCTACTCAGGAGGTTGAGGTGGGAGGACTGCTAGAGGCCAGGAATTCAAGACCAGCCTGGGCAACATAGCAAGAACCCCGTTTCTAAAAGAAATGTTTAAAAAAACTTAGCCAAGTATGTTGGCATGCACCCGTAATCCCAGACACTGGAGAGGCTGACGTGGGAGGATCCCATGAGCCCAGGAATTCTAGGCTGCAGTGAGCTGGATCATACCAGACCCCAGGTAGCTCCGTGGACCTACCAGATTGCTCATAGCTCTCTGCATTCTTCCCAGAACTTACATGAGTCTGAGCCTTAATTAAGTACTTCCTCCTAGAAACTTTTCTCCATCTATATCCTGCCCCACTTCCCATCCCACCTCACTCCCAAGGAGACTGCATCTTTTCAATTTTCCCTGAGCTTTGCACTCAGCACATATATCTTCATCTCCTTTATTCCCACTTCCTAATTCTCCAACAAATTCCTTGAGGAAAGAATCATGCTATTAATCTGTCTATTTTATATTACACCCTACATATAGCAGGCACTAAATAGATATTTGTAATACTGAGCTACAAAATCTACAGGGAATAGGCGCCATCTAAACAAGGTCTTTTACATTAGCATGAACAGTGGCAAAAATCTAAGCTTTTAAAATTCATAGTACCCCATCTTCCACTCCTCCTCCATCGAACCATTATCTAAATCCCTTCCAATTTCAGAAAACAGTTTTAGTTTATTTCAGATTTTTCCAGTTTAAACAGACAAGTACAGAAATCACAAACTATATTTCAATGCTGAGCACAAGCAAATTTTTGACAACTGAATATAAAATCTGCAAGAGGAAAAGACATTGAACCTAATCAGACACAAGGAAATATACCTCCTTATACTTCAGCTAAAGCCAAATTTCAACCAGCATAAAATTCCCAAATGAGAAAGAAAGGCTTTCTGGTAAAAATCTCAGTTAAGATGAAGACTCAGATTGTGATAAAGATTTTTTTTTAATTTCTGAAGAAGTGTTTAGTCCTGACCATTTTTACCTGAAACAGAAAACAAAGACCTTGAAGCTTAAAAATGTCTAGCAAGTTTACAACTTCAAGTGGTTGGCATTTAGTTTGTGCTACTTCTTAAATAAATGACTTATGAAAATTATCTGCTTTTATTTTCAGAGATGGTAGGACAATGCAATTTATTTTTAAAATCACAATTTGCGTCAGATGGAATTTAACCCTCCTACAAATGATTTACAGAGATAGACAAAGGCCAAACACTGATAAGGATAAAGACGCTGACTCGAGACTTTAGAAAAACAAGCATGAAAACAGTAAAGCAGACACGCCAGGGAATTAAAAGCTATCTACTGGTAATCTTCAACGAAGAAATCACTGAGATTTTAGTTAGCTCAATTTTGAGTAAAACAGCAAGTATTAACTATTGAGATAGTCTGAACTAGAAAGAGGTGCACAGCTACAGCCAGGGAAAATCTGATTTCCTGCTTCTCATTTTCTGACTCAGATTTTCAAATAATCCCTCGTCTATATGAAACAGCTATGATTTTAGAAAGTTAATATAAGCCACCCCAATTCAAAACGTTCACCCTCAAGAGGTAAAACAAAGAATACTGAGATCATTTTAAACTTCATTGTTAACTGCTGATCCTTCAAACAAGTCAAGACATGGCAGGGAAGAAGTCAGGTGCTTCATATATGTCTTGGTCAGTTTGTGCTGCTATAGCAGAATACCACAGAATGGGTAATTTGTAAAGAAGAGAAATTTATTTCTCACAGTTCTGGAGACTGGGAAGTCTAAGATCAAGGCATGGGCAGGCTGGGCGTCTGGTGAGGAGCATGGTCTTTGCCTCCAAGATGGCATCTTACATCCCCTGGAGGGGAGAAATTCGATGTCTTCACATGGCAGAGGGCAGGAGGGCCAAGTGCTGAGTGAAGCCTCTTTTATGAGGGCTTCAATCACTTTCAGGAGGGAGGAGCCTGCACAGCCTTAATTTCCTCTTAAAGGCAACCTCCCCTCCCCCACTTAATACTATCAAGTTAGTCGTTAAATTTCAATATCTGAATTTTGAGGGGATCCATTCAAATCATAGCAACATACAGCATTTCATTTAATCCTAACAAGAATCCTAAGAGATGTTTTAAAGTTGAGAAGACCAAGGAATAGAAAGACAAAGTAAAACTTACCAAGTCCCAAAGCTAGCAAGTAGCAGAACCCAAGTTTATGTTTTCCCTGCTGTATCACAGCGCTGCCAAGGCTAAGCAGGTGGTCCAGGTAACTAGCTATGTAGCTGGTTAAATACAAGACACCTGACACCAAGACTAGGCTCCCAATTTCTCAACTAAGAATATCTAGCTGGGTGCAGTGGCTCACTCCTATAATCCTTGTACTTTGGGAGGCCGAAGCAAGTGGATCACTTGATGTCAGGAGTTTAAGACCAGCCTGGCCAATATAGTGAAACCTTGACTCCACTAAAAATACAAAAATTAGCTAGATGTGGTGGCACACACCTGTAGTCCCAGCTACTCAGGAGCCTAAGACAGGAGAATCACTTGAATCTGGGAGGTGGAGGCTGCAGTGAGTCGAGATGGTGCTAATGCACTCCAGCCTGGGCGGCCCAGCAATACTCCATCTCAAAGAAAAAAATAATAACAACATCTAATTGGACCAATTAACTATTTCTACAAGTAATTATTTTATGTTATGCATAAAATTACATTTCATTACAGTTGGTAGACTGCAGACTCCTTCAGTGCAGGCTTAATAAATATTTATAGACTTTTTTGAAAACCATTAAGGCACTCTGAAGTCCATTACCTGTCTAAAGGACTGATATACAAACATTTGCCTCTTAATTTCTCATAAAGTAAAATAAAGCATGTAAGCATGTTCAGTCCATCAGAACAATGCACATTTGTTTAATTTCTAAAAGAAAACTCAAAACACACGAATCCTTAACCAGAAATACTGCTCCTCTGAATTTCCACATATATTGTGCCTGTACCTTTGAGTACTTATTACCTCAAATTTATATTAAAAACTATTTCTGTGCATGCTTTATCTTCTCTACCAGACTTTATACAACTTCAATATGCCCCACAGCATCTAGCAGAGCAGATGCTGAATACATGATTAAATGAAGAAAATTATTTTCTTTTTACCCCACACTGCTGCATATAGATGCTCAGAATCAATGTGGTTAATAAAAAAAAGAACGAAAAAGGAAAACTTTTTACAATAATAATGAGATTCTCCGGGAACAATCAGCCTTGAATCAAAGTTGATTTCTGTCATCAGGTTCTAATTAAGAACGGCAGATAAAGCAGATGGCGAACAGCTTTAATCTTCATGCTAAGTTGATACTACTCTGGTGAAAACACAGAAAAATTGTTTGGACAAGCCAACTGAACAAACATGATATTGGGTGTCTGGAGGAAAGTCATTCTTAAAGAGTCTTCTTTCCACTAGATGGCTATCTGAACTTTCACTGAGAGAGTCAGTCAAAGGGCAAGGCATCACTTAAAGTGACTGTGCGTTCCAGCTAGGCCAAGGAAAGGAGGGGGTGGTGAAGGGGAAGAATTCAAGGACAGGAAGGTTTGTCTTTTTTCCATTTTTAAAAGGTTTCTCTTTTTGGAACTACTTACTTAGTCCTCTTCCCATTTTCCTTACTCATATAATTTATTAAGTACTGCAGAAGTGTTTTCCTAGAATTGATGAAATTGTGCCAAAGTTCTCATCAGAGAAGTTTAGAGTTCACTTAAACTGGTCGGCCATATGATTTCAGACGCAAGCCTTCAGGACTTTATTTTGCCCATCTAAATGTGAAAATGTACCTACATAAAATGTGTCATTTTTTAAAATGAATGGCTCCTTAAGGAAAACTAGTAATAGTTTTTCCCTTAAGTACAATATGTATGTGATCCATACAATAAAACCTCAGCCATTTGAAGTAAACTACTAGGGCCATTTGTTTAAAATCATTATTTTACACTAATGTTTATTCACTTCTTTCTGATTATAGGATAAATGCTCACTGAAGAAATGTTGGAAAAATCTGAAAGCACATTTTGTGTAAATAAAATAATGTAAAATTTCCCATTTTACAGGAAGAAAAACATTTCATTAATTTCTTCCTTTGTAAAAAGGTAAACATTTATTTCTATATGACATGTGTTCAAGTGAGTTACTAGAGAAATAGCCACAGTATTGCCAAAAATAAATTGTTGAGCATAGGTAAATCCTCTTTCTTTTCATATTCTCAGCTTCATCTTATAAATGAGAGCTATCTCTTGGCTCATGATGAACGTTTAAGCATCAGTTAAGACAGCAGAATCAAATTACTCAATGATACACTACCAGAGCATGGTGTTATTTGGTTTAGGTTACATCATTTGATGGAGAACAACACAGAGGTAAGATCCATCTGATCCATCTGATGGGATGTTTCTGTGCAGCCTTATTTAAAATTCTGTTGAACCTGGCATGGTGGGTCACACCTGTAATCACAGAACTTTGGGAGGCCAAAGCAGGAGGATCACTTGAGCCCAAAAGTTCAAGACCAGCCGGGGCAACATGGCAAGATCTTATCTCTACAAAAAATATGTTTAAAAAAATCAGCTGAGGACAGGGTTTGATGGCTCATACCTGTAATCTCAGCACTTTGGGAGGCTGAGGCAGGTAGATCACTTGAGGTCAGGAGTTTAAGACCAGCCTGGCCAATATGGCAAAACCCCATCTCTACTAACAATATAAAAATTAGCTGGGTGTGGTGGTGCATGCCTGTAATCCCAGCTACTTGGAAGGCTGAGGCAAGAGAAATCAGAGGTTGCAGTGAGCCGAGATCGCACCAATTGCACTCCAGCCTGGGCAATAAGAGCAAAACTCCATCTCAAAAAAAAAAAAAAAGAGAATTGCTTGAATCCAGGAGGCGGAGGTTGCAGTGAGCCAAGACCGTGCCACTGTACTCTACCTGGGTGACAGAGCAAGACCCTATCTCAAAAAAAAAAAAAAAAAAAAAACCAGGTATGGTGGCACATGCCTATAATCTTGGGAGGCTGAGTCAGGAAGATAGCTTGAGCCTAGGAAGTCAAGGCCACCTGAAGCTATGATCACATGCCACTGCACTCCAGCCTGGGCAACAAAACGAGGCCTTGTATCAAAAAACAAAGTAAAATAATAAAATTCTGTTGAATTTAAAGCATAACAAAAATTACAACCCTGTGTAATCTCAATTATGTTAAAAATAAATTTAAAAAAATAAATATTCACCAGAGGAAAAAAGATATGTCAGAATGTCAACAGTACTTTTATCTCTTTGTGGTGAAAACACAGATGAAGAAAAACAAATGGAATTCTTTTAACAGTTAAAAATTTGTTGTTATTTTATTGCAATAACATTAATGTAATGGCAACAACAAAAGATTTCATGTACTGCCCTTTAAAACACCTGTCGGTCATGATCTGCACAGTACGTACCAGTACGTAACAATATGCACATTACAACCGAAAAAGTGGTAATGATATTCTCAACAATCAAAGCATCCACCAAGTTTTAAAATAAAGTACAAATAAAAGATCAGTGTTTTTCAAAAGCTACTTTTCCTGGGCACGTGGCATATGTCAGACGCTGTGCTGAGCTCTTTGTATGGATTATTTCATTTAGCCCTCTCAAAACTCTAGGAGATATTATTACCATTCTCATTTTAAAGATGAGGCCGGGTGTGGTGGCTCATGCCTGTAATCCCAGCACTTTGGGAGGCTGATGCCGGCAGATCACCTGAGGTCACGAGTTCAAGACCAACCTGCCTAACACGGCGAAACTCTGTCTCTACTAAAAATATAAAACATTAGTCAGGTGTGGTGGCAGGCACCAGTAATCCCAGCTACTTAGGAGTCTGAGGCAGGAGAATCACTTGAAGCCGGGAGGCAGAGGTTGCAGTGAGCCAAGATCACACCACTGCACTCCAGCCTGGGCTACAAGAGTGAAACTCTGGCTCAAAAAAAAAAAAAAAAAAGATGAGGAAGCTGGCCAGGCTCAGTGGCTCATGCCTGTAATCTTTGCACACAGGGAAGCCAAAGCAGAAGAATTGCTTGAGCTCAGAAGTTCAAGGCTGCAGTCAGCCACATTCACATCACTGCACTCCAGCCTCGGTGAAAGAGCGAGACCCTGTCTCTAACGCGAACAACAACAACAAAAAAAAAGATGAGGAAGCTGAGGCTTACAGATAAGCTAAAGTAACTTCCCCGGTGTTAAACAGTTATTAAGCAAAAGAGCCAGAATTCAAAGTCAGATGTCTGATACCAAGACTCACACTTTTACTGAGAATGGGGCATTTGCACTGCCTTCAATAATAACCAGACTGAGAGTGTAAACTATGGCAAATATCCCAGATATAGCACGGATACAGACTGCAGCTTCCTGAGTTACAAGCAAACACCATTTACTCTTCTACAAAAAGCCTGCGAATCCCTCCTGAACAGAAGTATTTGGTTCACTTTTCATGTATAGTTATATGAGTAAATGTGGCATATAATAAATAAAATGAGCCAGGCACAGTGGCTCATGACTGTATTCAGCACTTTGAGAGGCTAAGGGCGGTGGGCGGGGAGGGGCATTGGTAATCACCTGAGCCCAGGAGTTAGAGACCAGCCTAGGCAACATGGTAGAATCCCATATCTATAAAAATTACAAAAATTAGATGGGCGTGGTTGTCCTAGCTACTTGGGAGGCTGAGGCAGGAGGACCACCCGGGCCCAGGAGGTTGAGGCTGCAGTGAGTGAGCCATAACCGTGCCACTGAACT